ATAATTGTGTTATATGATAAGTAATCATATTACAAATCTATATTTGATATATAATTAATTAAATTTCAAATCATTTAATTAATATACTAATGTTTATAATGGAATGTTAAAATTGATTAAGTAATCATATTACAAATAATATAAGTAATGTTATAATTAATTAAATTTTTAATCGTTTAATAAGTAATGTAATAGTATAGTAAATTACTAATGTTTATAATGTAATGTTATAAATTCATAACTAATTAAGTATTATATATCATTAACTATATAATCTATAATTAAGTAAGTCTATAATATAATGTATATAATAAATTTATATTTAATTGAGTATTATTTAACTATAATGTAATGCTAATTAATGTTTATAATGAAATTTTTATATAATGTTATAATTAATTAAATTTCTTATTATTCAATTAAGTATGTGCTAATGTTTTATATAGTAAATTAGTATACTAATGTTTAAAATATAATATCATAACTCTAATCAATTAAGTAATTATTTAATTATGTAATGTTATATAATTATATGATCTATTATAATAGTATAATGTAATGTATAAATGATTAAATAATTATACTATAAATCTATATTTAATATTTAATTAATTAATTTCAAATCATTTGATTAATGTACTATGTTTTAATAGAATGTTATATGATTAAGTAATTATATTATAATATATAGGTAATGTATAATTATTAAATTTTTAATCGTTTATTAAGTATGTAAAAATTAGTAAATTAGTAAATTACAATGTTTTAATGTAATGTTATAAATTCATAACTAATTATGTAATTATGTAATCATTTAACTATGTAATGCTATATTAAGTAAGTGATCAAATATATATTAATATAATAAATTATAATTTAATTGAGTAATTATTTAACTATAATGTATATTAATTATGTTTATAATGAATGTTTATGTAATGTTATATTAATAATTTCTTATCATTATAAGTATTGTGCTAATGTTTATGTAGCAATTGTAATTACTAATGTTTAAAACATAATATCATAACCTCATCATTAAGTAATTATTTAATTATGTAATGTTATATATTATTAATCATACTATATGTAATGTATAGTGAATTAACTATTAAATAATCATACTATAAATTTAATGTATATTATAATTAATTAAATTTTTAATCATTTAATTAAGTTTGCACTAATGTTTATAATAAAGTCAATTAATTAAGTAGTAATCAATTATGTAATGCTAATAATTATACTATAAATCAATTAGTAATGTTATAAAATTTAATTAATTAAGTAATCATTTAACTAATTAATGTTATAATTGATTAAGTATGATATTTAACTAGTAATTAAATTTATTAATGTTCATCAATTTATCATATATAATTAATTAATTACTATTTATTATAGATATACTTAGAACTTGATATGAAGTAAATAACTAAATATATATTACTCAATCAAATATACTATTTTATTCAAAATAATTCTTTTAATAACATTAAAAATGTAACACTTTAATTGGATCATATTCCAATATTCACTTAATTGATCAAAACTTTAATATTAATGTATTATAATATTTAAAGCTTTTAATATGGTGTAATTTATATGTAATAAGTATAATTGTATTCGTAATTATTTAATTAGGTATTCTAAAAATTAACTTTTTCTATTTTAAATATTTTTATATGTAAAATAATAGAAACTCCCCCATTTTTACTTTCACAAATATTTCATTATAGTTCAGGTTCCAAATAGTTCAAACAGTTCCAAAAACAGGTTCCAATATTTCCAAAAAGGTTCCAAACAGGTTTCACAACGGTTCAAAACAGTTCCAAAACAGGTTCCAAAACGGTTCCAAACAGGTTCCAAACAGGTTCCAAACAGGTTCCAAACAGGGTACCCCCTACAGATTCCAAACAGGGTACCCTTTTTACAGGTTCCGGTTCCGGTTCCGGTTCCTCCGGGGTAAGAACCGGAACCAGAACCGCACAGTACGGTTCCAAAAATTGGAACCGGAACCTACCCGCACGTGCAGGTTTTGGGTAGGTTCCGGTTCCGGTTCCGGTTCTTACCCCCGGTTCCGGTTCTACTCGCTACCCGTGCTCACCCCTATTGTTTCCACAGCAACCCACAGCCGCGGCCCCCAGACAATCATGGAAGAAGGTACTGCCTTTGCATTCAGCGAGGAACCAATCTGGAACTACAGGTTGAATCCTGCACAACCCTTTGGTTCGTCCTTGCTATTAGGCTACCCATGAGTAGGTATAAATACATAGACTGCGTTTGTTTACATTTGGGAATACTACTTTTAGTATTCCCAAAAAAGTTAAACAGTAAAATACCCAAATTCAGATTTTTGGGAATACTACTCCCAAAATTATTCAACTTTTTTTAAACCCTTTAAATTTGATAATTAAATTAAATACCCCTAAATATTTTTTTTAAATTCAAAAAAACACCCATAATCCACATTACCAGATTCCAGCCACCACCACCGGAAAATGGCCGAAATCTGGTAGAATGGCGCACTACCGGCTGAATCGGCCGGCAGTGCGCCGATCTAGCCTTTTCCGGCCAGATCCACGTGGATCTGGCCGAAAAGGCCAGATCTAAGGCCTAACACTCGGTCACGACGGCCAACAAACGGTCGTCGTTGACCATCAACGACGACCGTTTGTTGGCCGTCGTTGAGACAAATACGGCCAGATCTGGCCGTTGACGGCCAATCTGACCGTAGATCTGGCCTTTTCCGGCCAGATCCACCGTGGATCTGGCCGGAAAAGGCCATAGCGACGCATACCGGCAAGATCCAACCCGGTCATGCGCCCATACGGCGACTCCGGCCACCTCCGGTGGTGGTCGCCGGCTGGGGGTGTTTGAGGGTGGGTTAGGGGTATTTTTGTTAACTTTTAATGTTTTATTATAGGGGGTATTTTGTAAAAAAACAAACATAAAGGAGATTTTATTAATTTATAAATTTTACCTCGTAATACCCGCCCAATTCAACTTTTTTTAACTTTTTTCAAAAAACTTTTCCCAAAACCCCCAAATTTTGAACCAAACGCAGCCATAATGTTATACATTAGGTTAATATTATAAATAATTTTAGAGCCTATTTGGTTGGGTTTATCAATTGATCGAAAAGCTTATAAAAAAGTTATCAATACTTTTAATTTTTTTTTTTATTATATTGTTTTATTGTATTCCAAAAGTGTTTATAGAATTTTAAATAAATTATTTTACAGCTTCCAATAAATTTGAGCTTCTTTTTTCATAAACTATGTTTCAGTTTATTTAAAGTGTTGAAATTAAAAAAAAAAAATCGTTATTCTATTTTATAAATTTGACTTGATCGTGTTCTTATCTATTAAAACTCTTTTAGTGAATTAATACTCAAAAACTCTTTATATTTTCTTAACAAAATAACTAACAAAGTTTTTTTTTTTTTAAATTATACTTTTAATAAATTCTACTCTAATTAACTTTTCTTTTATTAATTTTTCTCGAATGACCTGTATCAAATAGACCCTTAACCTCTAATGACTTAAGGGAAAACCTAAACCTAAAGGTGTCATGTTGTCATTAAAAAAAAAAAAAATTAAGTACATATAAATTTCTTTTCTCAAATGAAACTTGATGAATTAAGTAGCTAGGTGTACAAATATATTGTTTGAAATGAAACTTCTTGTCAAAATCAGTGTTCATGGATAGGCCCATGCACTAATTAATAAGAGTCAAAATCAAATATATCTTAATCTACCAAAGATATATAATCACATCTCACAATCCAACACATTTATTAGTATTTGGAGGGTCATGTTGTTGTATTATAGACCACCGAACAGTGTCACTATGATCGTGATTTATTAATACAAAATTTGCCAAATTAATGTATAGGGACCTAGTAAGAGATAATGATGGATATACTTTTTTGTTGTTTTTTTGGATGGTTGTCTATAAGACACATCTTAGGCTTTGTTTGGTATAATATTTATAAATTATTTTCTGTGTTTCATAATGGTAAAAATTAAGAAACTTGTTCAAAGGTATCTGATTTGAAAATACGTACAAATTAAGCTATTTCTTGTTGAAGTTAGTATTTGATTTTCACGTTAAAAGTTTCAGACTTTTGTATCTAAAAAATTATATATGTATATAAAATATCAAGATAAAGATGAATATGAAGTTTGCGGGTGTGCGAAAGAGATAGAAAGAGGGACCATACTGAGCAAGGCATAGAAGAGAAATAAATTGAAGTGGCGAGGAACCCTACTGAGGAAGGCATCGAAGAGAAGAGAATTATGCTGTGAGCAAATAAGCTGTCACAATCTTCATTTCTTTGGTCCAGAGTAATATTAATAATAATAAATAATAATAATTTCTACCGACTTTGGTATATAAACTATATCCTTATAATAATATGAAAGAGAAGAATCGGCATGGGAAATCCCCCAGTGGTGCATGTAGTAATACTAATATATAACCTTCTTTTATTGGTTTTTTTATTTTATTTTCGACAATTAATCCATCCCCTTCTGCTCCAATTGGTGTACAGTAACAGTGGTATGGTCTTTGAAAATTCAAAACAAGAGTCATAAATGTGTTTTGCTGACAAGATATGTGTATAATGTAAAGTTGTAATCCATGAAAATTAATAATATATTTTTTTATTAATTATTAATTGAGAGCAGAGTGTGACATGAAACCAACAGCAATAAAGTCTGTCATAAATACATCTTTACACAAAATATAAAGCCTTAATAAATACAAAAGAAAAATAAATACTCCCATATATAATTAATTTATATCTTCTAAGATTGGACCGTTTTGAATTTAATGAGATGAGACCTCGAAGATAAACTTATAGAAACAAAATCATCTATTGTTGCATAAATTAATTAATTTCATCCAATGCAATATATATATATAACGTTACAATTAATATTACAACAATTGCACACTCCAAATTTAATATATTGTCTAAACTAATCAGGAAGCAATAACAATTAATTTAAAACTTGATATTCATGATGTTCTTGACACAAACATTTAATTAAAATTTCCCAATTGCTATGATCTAATAATAATTTTTTTCCACAATGGAGGAAAGAATTAATTACGGAGGAGTCTTGAACTCTTGATGAAATTAATATCAGAACAGAGGCGAGTTAGATGGAGAAGAATTCACCAAATTCAGAATGCTGTTCCAATAATTCTTGTTATCTTGGTAATAGTCACTGCCACTATCACTTCCACCACCGCTACCGCAACCGCTACCGCCACCGCTATTCTCGGAATCTTTGCAACTGTCCGAGAGAGCCCGGCCGCCGTCGTCCATGGAATCATTAAGCAGAAGATTGGTGAAATTCTCCTCCATGTTAGAAGTACTACTACCAAGTTGAATTTGAGTGACACTGTTTGTCCTTAAAGACTCGGGAGTCCATGGATTCTCCATTGAAATTGTCATGTCATGAAGACTTGAGGTGAAAGACAAGGAATTTTCAATGCCCTCTTTATATTTCCAGTCTTGTACTTGATCACCTTCTTCTTTAATGATTCCTCCACTCTGATGATGATGATGAGACGATCCCGAAGAGCCAACGAACTCGATCATATTGATCGAATTCACTCCAATCCCAGTGGTTGTAGCAGTACCACTCATCACTGGCGCCCCCGCCGCCACATTATTGTTGTTATTATTATTATTATTAGTCTCGGAGAAACTAAGCGTCGAAGTCGGAGACTCCAAGTCGCCGCCATGACCGATTGTAGTAGGAGCAGCTGCAGTATAAGCTGCGGTTTTGTTCATAAACGGAGCTGAAGTCGAAGAGGAAGAGTGAAAAGAATGTGAACGGAGTTTTGACTCGCGAACGAGCCTCGCTTCAGCTTCGAGGCGCGCGCTTTCCCACTGCGCCATGTGGCTCAAATTGGCTGCATTCTTGGATTGACCGTCGCTCGAGAGTAGAGCGTCGTTTTTTGGCTTGTGGGTGACGGGATCTATCCCCATTTTGGCTAGTCTTTTCTTGAGATGGGTGTTCCAGTAATTTTTGATCTCGTTATCAGTTCTCTTTGGTAAGTGAGTGGCTATAGCCGACCACCTGAAGAAGACAAGAAAACGAAAAAATATAATAAAGATAAAAAAAAACCCTAGAAATTTTCAATGTCCTTTGTTAAGAATCAAAAGACAAAAACAGTGGACAAGAAGAGAGAATTTTGTTTTGAACCTGTTGCCTAAGAGGGCATGGAGTTGAATGATGGTTTGTTCTTCTTGTAAACTGAATTTTCCTCGCTTGATATCAGGGCGAAGATAATTAGTCCATCGAAGGCGGCAACTCTTTCCACATCTTTGAAGCCCTGTAAATAAACAAATAATTAATGAGATTATACTATTATGAAGATAAAGGAAATGATGATTTAGAGTTTGATTAATGAGTCCATGATCGATCACCTGCTTTAGCGGGGAGGGCACGCCAGCTGCCATGGCCGTGTTCTTCAATGTAAGCTAAGAGTTTTTGATCTTCTTCAGGAGTCCATGGACCCTTCTTTAAGCCGACTTTGTCACAGCAGGGTGACCGACCCATTTGCGGTTTGGGTTAAAGATGAAGATGAACCCAGTAACGGAGGTTGAAGTGGAAGTTGAAGTGTTTTGTTTTGATATCTGTGATCAATATGAAACTGGTAGTGGTTATGGAGAAAGAAGGTGAAAGAGAAACGATTGTGTTTATAAACAACGAGATGGGCAGAGACAATAGAGTCCAAAAAAATAAAATGGGAATCATAATAAATAATTCAATTATTTGATCTGAGTATAGGTTAAATTTACATTAATACACAAGTACCTTTAATTTAATTTTTCTTCAACCTAAAAGGAAAAAAAAAAAAATAGGACCCTATAGGAAAATTATCATCAAATGTTTTCCTTCTAAAAATTTTAATTTAATATTATATTATAGGAAAAACCTTCTTCTTCTTTCATATTTATCCAGGGGATCGATGTTCAAGTTCTAACATAAGATACATATTAAAATAGAAAATTTTGCAAACTCTCATACCGACACATGGGTAACCAAACGGTAAGGACAAACCAAGGGGACCGTATATGGCTTCCGTCCATAGTCTTAGGTGATTCATATTCTCACTGGGTATAAAGATAGTATTTTTTCTTATGATTTACCTGAGAGGCCGCGACGACGATGGATTGGTATGAGATGACTTCCCTAAGGTTTAGTGGAGGTGTCTCACATTTAATTTGAATATGTTGACTAATAATTTTGCTTGACCTAAGAGCTCTCAATTGTTGACTCGAAGAAAAAAAATTAAACTGAAGATCAATTATAAATCTAGGCAGACCTAATATTCAAGCATGTTTTTGGATCAAATTACACATCAGCTGGATTTTGACTTGTGGGCAATCTACTTAATGAGAGTAAATTAAAGTTTCATGACTAGTAATTAATTAACTTTCCTTTCGGCGAATTAATGATAATAATAATAGTAATAAATATTTATTATTAGCTGACAAGCAATTAATTAATTTTCCCCTTTTTCATTTGTTATAATTATTTTTCAGATGAGGGATCAAAGGGAATAATGCTAATGGCTTGTACTATATTTAGTTATATATTCTGTAATTGTTATTTTTTTTTTTAAAAAAAAAAACAACCCATGAGGGGAATTTATGTATGCAATAAGTGAATAAACAATGATAATAAAATAACGAGTGACAAACATTAATAGCTGGGCAACATGTGAAATTTCTCAAACTTTCATGGTAAATTAAATGATCAAAATATTTAGTATATATATAGTTTCTTTTCAATGATTAATTGATGTCACATCCTTATGATACAAGATTATGATGTCTGTTGATGTAAAAAAATGTACCAAGAGAGAAATCATTGAAAATGTGTCATCGTGAAGTTATGAAGATATGAAAGAAAACATCAGCTATCTTAGGGTGATCGAGTAGTTTGATAGAGACTCTTGGGTGTATTATTCAAGAGGGTCTGAGTTCAAGTTCCTCATCGGTTGCTAATAAGGGTAGCCACTAAAACTCTTACTCGACCGATAGTTTCAGGACCCCAAGAGATTAGTTAAGGTACGTGTAAGCTAACTTGAGCAGATTTCTTGGTGTTATGAAACTCAATTTAATTTCTCAAAATCAAAATATAAACTATATGTGAAATGAAATGAACCGCACGGATAACTTTTTTATGCTGGTACATAAAGCTCTTTATAATTTAATTTTAATAAATGTCTTATGCATATACATAAATATATATTGGTCCCAACTCCCAATCCAAAAGTATCACATTTAATCGAGGTAGCCAGCTAGTTAATTAGCTGGTAAAATACTACAAGTCTAAAATTGTAAAAGAAATTATAATTAAAACCCTAAACCTAAAAGGCATTGTGTTTATAATTAGCTACATATTTAATTATTAGAGGCCATTTTAATTTCCTAATATAACTATATTTTACATAGTCTTTGACTCTTTTTAGAATAAAAAATACATCACTAAGAAAAGAAACCTTACATTAAATTCACTTAATCTTAATTAATTAAAATAAATTATATATATTCTAATTATCCAAACTCTCTTTTAATCAAATTTTCTTTTCTTGGATTCAAATAAAGTCATCAATAAATTCTAAAAAAAATAAAAAGAAAAAATTCATCATCAAGAATGTGGGGTTGATCAAACTTACCCTGCCAAGAAAGGGTGACACTTAATGGTGGTGATTGTGACCTTATAATATAAGCTAATTGTCGAATTTTTTTTGTTTAAAAATATGTAATTAATAAGGGGCAACTTAGTGATTAAGCTTAGGGTCCAAGAACAAGAGAGATTTATTGAGGTGGGCTCTTAGCTTTTGTAAAGGTATCTTCACTCTTCATTAATTTCTAGCATGAAAAGACAAAGAAAAGGGTCCCATTTATTAAAAGTAAAATAAAATAAACGAATGAAGCACCAAAAAAATAAAAAATAAAAAAATAATAAAAAAATTAATATTTAATAAGGAAACTCAAATAGCTAGTGGGTGTAATTGGCAAGGACAATGGAGGGGACACGCACCTTAAATTCTTCTTCATCACTTGATAGCTCCACCCTTGTGCATGGTCCAACATTGTCTTAATGCACTATTAAATGACCTCCTATCACACTTGGTGATCGTCTATTCGTCCACCTAATTGTCAATTACTTACCGGAGAAATTAGTGTATTCGTAAGATGTGAATATTTAGGGGTTTGTTTAGTTTATTATTTTGGATAGGATTCTGAAAATAGTATTAGATAGTTGAGTTGAGTGATTATTACGAGGTAAAATTTAAAAATTAATAAAAAAACCCTATAAGTTTGCTAATTTAAATAAATACCCCAATATATAAAATTTTTATAAAATAACAAAAACACCCCCACTCACATACAGTGCCAGATTCCTGCCACCCCCGTCAGAATCTAGTCGGAATCTAGTGTTACGACGTAGACCAGTCGGATCTGGCCGATCGTGCATCGATCTAGCCAGAAAAGGCCAGATCGACGGCCGCAAAAGGTTAGATCGGCGAATTACCGGCCATTTCTAGTCGTTTGTACACTGTTGTAACATATTCCGGCTACCACCGACGGTGGTTGCTGGAATCTAGCAACTATGGGTGGGTAGAGGTGTTTTTGTTAATTTTTAAACTTTTTTCTGGGGGTGTTTAATTAAATTAATAAACTTAAGGGGTCTAAAAGCAATTAAATATAATATAATAGTATTTCCTAAATAATGAAACAAACAGTTATTTTGATAATAGGACTGGGAATAGGGTATGAAATAAAGAACCAAACGGACTTTATGTTTAGGTTTAATTTTGAAATCGAACCCAACAACAATAATGAGATAAGAACATCTAATTGTTTGATAGGAAATGCATGTTTTGAATAAACTAAAAATCCAAGATGATGACACTTTTGGGAGAAACCTCAAATTGAGGACTTGTATAGAGAAACCCCACTCTATCCAAGCATGCATGAGGGCTCAAGCCATCATATTAGTAAGCAACTAAGTCACGAGAGTGCTAATCATGTCGATATCCAAATCAATTGACAATGCATTAACATTGATAGCTTATATTTAATTCACAACAACATATTTCAATTAAAGTAATAAAGAGAGATCAAATAAACAATATTTATTGTTTTCATAAGAGTTTTATGTGCTTGAGAAACTGAAGTTGCAAGTAGATTTTAATTAATCTAGAGGTGTTAAAATTATATCCTATCTGTTATATCACATTTGATGGAGAGTTTTGATCCTTCTCTTTAAGCTAAGGAGACAAGTACTTATTATTAGGAACCTAACACAAGGAGATAGTACAACAATTATTTAAATCCTTGAAGACTTTTCATAGTTTTTTCTTTTTTTCGGTTATGTTATTGGATCGATAAATATAATAATTCGAGATTTTAATTTAATAGTGTGACTTCCAAATTAATATCCACCACAAAACTCGTACATGTAAAGCTTCATACATTACAACCAAAAACGTTTATTTTCGAGGGCTAACTCATGGAATGGACCCTATTAGTTAAATTGTTAATCTTACATCCAAATATCCATTAAATTCATGCAATGGACCATATTCATTAAAAACACTTCCAAAACATCATGTATGATACCTATCACGTCATTCATTTGTCATAGTTCTCCAATGAAATATATATGCGTTGGAATATCTCAAATCTGCATTGTAAGACATCAACAACGATGCCTAGAAAGAAAAATAATGCAAAGTCATCGAACAATGCTTCATCGTATTGACTTCAGTTTGACACAAACCATGCTCGTTCGTAGCTAAGAAGTTATAAAACCCTAATCTCCAAGAAACTAGTTAATTATATGCTAATATTTGATGCAACAAAATAACTTTAAATGATTTTTCCTAAATTAATTTTGTGGGTTGTTGATACATCCCCCATTGGCTATATCACTATAGATGGAGAAATTGTGTCAACTTCATACATAGAACTGTTTTAATAGGACAATGATCATATCACAAACCTGTAATTTGTCACCAATCAATTTAATTTAACAACTATAAGAAATTAAGAATCGACAACTTCATCATCTTAATAAATTAAAAGTTTGTTCAAGGAAAAATAACTATGGTTTCACATTATGAATATCTACCAACATTTTACACTTGCATTAATTAAAGATATATATGGCCAAGATTTTCAAAAGGTTTTATGCATTTTAATATCGCTTTGATTGGATTTATCTACAAGCTAAAAAAAATTTAGGGTGCATTTGGTTTATTATTTTGGATAGGATTTTGGGGATAGTATTGGATAGTTGGATAGGGTTATGATTACGAGAATAGGATTTGTTGAATATATGTTTGGTAGAGTATTTTGACCTTGATATTTGTGTTGAATATTTGATTAATATACTTTTTTTATAAATGATTTATTAATATAATATTTTGTTGTATTTTGTTAAAATAATGTATTATTATATATATAACTTATCAAGTTACATTTTAATAATACTAAATATTTTATTGGTAATTTTGTCACCCGTGGATATTAAAAAACAAAAACTCATATTATGAAACACAAATGCAGTGAAGAAAACTGAGAAAATGAAATACAAATGCAATGAAGAAAACTGAGAAAATGAAAAACAAATGAGAGAGAATAAAAGCTGCTAACTGT